CAGAGCCCTCCCCACACCCCCGCTCCAGCCCTGGTTTCAATCATCCCTCGATTACACGCTGTTTGCTTTTGTTGACAGCACATTTACTTGCACTTGTCAAGCGCGCTGTAAATAGTGAGAGAAACAGCCCTGCCCTTCCTGACCAGAGGAAGGGCCAGGAAGGGGCCGGCCTCTCCCGGCCCCGCGCCCGCCAGCAGCTCATTCCCAGCACCGGAGCCAGCGCTGCTGGGGTGCAGGATCGGTCCCCGCCTGCTCGCACTGTCAGCAGCCACGGGAGAGACACTGGCAAGTGCTGAGGATCCACCACCTCCCTCAGGAAACAACAGGAGCACCCATCCTGGACTCCCACGGCCCAAAGTCCACACCATCAAGTGTCCATAATTATTTAGCTTAAGGGCAATCTACATCTTTCGGACACAGTCAGCCAGCATCTCCGAGGTAATCTCAGGTCACGGAGGCAGAAGGAAGAGTAATCAGCCGTTCTGAGTGTGGAAGACACAAAGAAACAAGCAGTGAGAATCGGACGGTCGTAGCAGGTTGGTTATAAGCAGGGTGTTGTGCCACTAATGTTTTCCCCGGCAGCCAAATCAGCTGGAGCAGCCCCTTGTCCTTGCCCCTGCTCTGCAGTTTGCTGTCTCTCTTCAGTTGTGCTAATGCAGTTCAGCGCAGGGCCGGGCTGGAAACAGGACCAGTGCAGCGATGTAAGGTTAAAAAAAAGGCACTGTGCTCTGCACAGCTGGTTATTACACGGCCTGAGGAGGCAGCCTCGCTAACTCGATTAATTCATAAAGCTCCTCTCGCTATAATCATTGTCGCCGCTGTGGTTCCTCACCAGCCCCAGCCCACCTCCAGGCTCCACACCTCCCCATTTGGGGACGTTTGTCATCAAGCTGGGTCGTCCTGGTGATGTGTTTTACAGGTCCTTGCTCAGCACGGCCAAGGGGAAGGGAGCAGCCTCCCAGGGTGGACTCACGAGGACAAGAGCAGGGAAGGCTCTGCAAATGGAGAAAACTACGACAGAACTACTCCTGTGACCCGCTGCAGGTCACAGGATGGGCTCACCATCCAGGGAATTTCAACCAAGCCCTACAGCAGCAGCAGAGAAGTCACCGAAGCCCCACTTCCACCATGTCTCTTGGAAACCAGGGCTAAAGAGCTGGACCACACCGACAACCACAGTTATCCCAGAGCTCCTCCTGCTCTGACTGGCAGGACAAGCCCATTGCCAGCACAGCTGTATCCCTCAGGGCTTTCTCTCCCTACATCTCCAGAATTGGATGCTACATGCACTCTACGCTTGTGTCACCCAGAAACTAGCAGCTTTGCTCTAAAACCAGCTGCTCGGAAAGGAGCAGCTGTGCCAACACAAGCCCCCTACACGGTGCAGTCTTCAGGCTCGACACCGTCCTCCCGGGAGACGTTGCCAGAGACAGCGACAGCTCTGCAAAGCCACATCCCTGCACCAGAAGGACCTACCCAGACCTGGCTCAGGGGGTCTTGAAAAACAAGAAGTGTCATCCCCAAATTTGTCTGATTTTCCACAGCTCCAAGAAGTTGGCACCCTGCAACGTTCCTCCATCAGTTTGGCCAGCCCAGCTCCTCCTCTCCAGACGTGCCCGTCTTGCCCCACTGCAACTCTCTGTTCTGGGAAGGACTGAGGGACAGCATTAAGGGCAGCGTTAACACGTTGAAGGGGGAGCCATTCCCAGCTCACAGCCCTGGCCCGGCAGCCGCAGGGGCTGCTGAGGAGCTGCTCTCTGCTCACACTGTGTCCCTTTCTCCGGCTCCAACGCGCAGCTGGCTCATGGCACATCCCTGTCTGGCACCGAGGCTGCGTCGGTCCTTCGCTCCCATCGCACTGCGAAGCCCACCTACCCTCGGCTGGGCTCCGGTTGTGGAGAGATGAGCTGCCTCTGGCCAAGTTGGAGCAGTTTTGAAGGCTTTGCAAACCAGATTCCTGTTTGGAGCAGAGGCTGATATTTCCAGCTTAATTTGTCTGTTCACAAAGCACAGACACTGGCCTGTTTCCTTAAATAGCCCTAGTATCAAATCACTTGGAAGCAACAAGCAAAGCTAATGGATCACTTCTCCCTCGCAAAAAGTAACTGTTTTTCCCAGCTCCTGCCTCCTGCTGCACTGGCATCCCTGGGGATGTCCGACCTGACAAACGAGCTGTGCCACGGACCGGTCAGCACGGCCCCAACTGCAGCTCTCGCATCTCAGTCCCTGCTCACAGACCAGCCCCATCCCACCCTGCTCCAAACTTACACACCCTCCACGCATCCTCATCAGCCCACTTGGGAGCTGCAGCCCAACATCGGGCAGCTCTTCCTTCCCCAGGCTGTTCCTTCTTGCATTTTAGGATCAGGCTTGCTTTAAAATTGCATCCTGGGCAGTTTATCCCTTGCTGGGATGGGAAAGGGTGCAATGAACTCCATTTAGTGCCTGGCGGTTGCTCTCACACTCACACTTCCTGGCCCCATATCCCAGCAGTGGGATTTCCATCACCTTCAGCAAGCTGAGACAAAACTTCCTCATCACAACCTTGGAGGGCCCATGCTGGCTCTCCCCTGCACCCTCTTGGCTACTGAGGCACGGAAAAGCCTTAGAAAGGTTTGTGATGTCTCCTAGAGTATTTTTCCACCAGTTGAGTAGCCAGGCTCCTTCCACAACTTGGGGAGCAGATGCTCTCTAGAGCTTTGCTCTGAGCAACAGGACTTGTAAGTCCAGCAGAGAGCCAAAATGCCGCACAAGCACAGAGTCGGGGTGAGGAGGGCAAACAGCAACATCACCCGGAAACCCACACGGTCCCAGAGCACGTGTCGTGACGGAGAGCCACCAAGATCTCCTCTTTTGGGATCTGCTGATCTGAACATGTCCCTGCACAGCTTCACCCCGGAGGATCCCCTGTGCAGCCCCATCACATGCATCCCTCCCACACGGAGCCACCTGGGACCCCCTGCCCAGGCACTGCATCGTGCCAGCAAGACACATCGAAGGAAAACCAGAGACGTGGCAGAGTCTCATCACCCCATTGAATGAGCTACCCTGGGCTGTTTGCATTTCCAGAGGGTCCGCTGGTAGCTAAGTTCTCAGGCTTTTGTATGTTGTTGCTATTTTAGTCTGTCTGAAACGTGCAGGAAAAGGAATCCGGAGGCTCTGTCTCCTGCAGAGATGTTTGTGCTGACCCAGTTTGGGATGCTGCAGAGCAAAAGCCGCGTCACTTTGCCTCTGGACCTGGAGCAGCCGCCTGCTTCAGCTTTTGTCTGCACGTACAGCGAGAGTAAGTCATTGCCTTTGATCGGAGCACACACCAAGGCTGCACCCACAGGTCAGAGTGGGACAGAGGCTGCTCCATCACCACACACCAGCCAAGGGGAGGCATCTGGGTGGTTTTACCCCCAAGATCTCCAGCTGCCTCATTCAAAGTGTTTTAAACACTCAGCACAGCGTGTTTCTTTTCTCCCAGCGCGGTGGGTCACCCACCAACAGTCCAAACCCCGTCCCTGGGGGACAAGATGACTCCAGTCGAGATTGCCACTGTCTCAGACAACTCCACGGGGGCAGCCCCAGCCCCAGAGGCAGGGAGACGGGAGGGGGGCCACACCCACGCAGGGCAGGCGTGCCCAACCATGTTTCAAACCCGCTCCACGCGCACATTTCTCTTGCCAGTGCCGCTGAGACAATGCTCTCAGGCCAGGCTGAAGCTCTTCACATGTGGGAAAAGTGCTGGTAGTGCCTTGTTAGGTATGAAAGCCAGCACTCAGCACATGACCTTTCCATGCTCTGAGGCCATCTGCGGGGTCCACATCAAATGCCTGAGCCCGTCTGAGCACATGGAAGGGGCAAATCTCTGCACCACTGCTCCCACGACCTCGGTCTTTTAATCAAGACCCAGAGATTACGGCCTGAACCTCTCCTCCTGCTTTCAGTCCTGCCCTAGAGCCGAGCTCTCGGGGAAGGCCGGACGCCAGGCTGCAGAGCCTCAGCTGTCCAAATACAGATGCCGGGAGGCGGCAGAAGCAGCCTCGCTCGCTGGAGTCTGCCTGGACCCGGGTCAGCAGATGCAAATGCAATAACTGCTTCCCCAAGCACGGCAGAAAGCTGCAGATGCAGCAGTGCCTGAATACATGCTCCCTCCTCACCTGGCCGAAAAGAAATATTAAAAAAAGCCTCCAGAGCAGCTCGCCCAGCAGCAGCATCACTAGAGCAAACCTCCCGCCACAGGCAGAGCCCCGCGATGCTTTGAGAGGGGTTTTGAGCTCCCGCATGGATCTCTTACCTTGTTCTCTGAAGGAGCTGGTGCCGGATGTTGCTGCTTGGTGATGTTCTCAGCCAGACACCAGCAGATCCTCTTCTTCTGCTCCTGGGAGTAAGCTTCCAAACTTAATAAGCACTCCGACTTCTGACGTAAAGGAAACACAGGCAGAGAGAAGGTCATTAGCCGCGTGTCGCGGGCCCCAGCTTTGTTTGCAAACTACTTGCTTCCAACACAGTGTATCAGACGAGCGTTAAGTATAAGAGAGCTCGCACTGGTGTCCTGCGCTCCGGGCACGAGAAAGCAGAACGGACGGGAAATCAGCTTTGCGGCAGCATCTCCTCCGGAGAGAGGGCGAAGGGCTGCTGCGGTGCAGAGCAGCAGACTCCTGCTTTAATAAGCAAGAGCAGGGTGGCAAGGCACGGGCAGGGCACCAGCAGTTCTGCACCCTGTGCCGCCACAGTGGAAACGTCTCTATTAAGCTAATTTAGAGGGTGGAAATTGCTCTTTGCTGTACGCAAACATTAACGAGGCACCGCAGCGTGAGCTGATGAAAACAAGTGCCTTTGGGCTGGGTGGGGCTGGGAGGAAGGCAGACCTCAGGAGAAGCTCCAGAGCAGCCTCGCCGGTTCTTCTTCCTTAAGAGCACCCATCAGAGGTTGTTTTAAGGATGATGCTCCAGCTCCGGTCACACGCTGTCCGAGAGCAACGTGCAGTGAGGAAGAAATATCCCATCTGAGCCCACCTCTCCTCGTGTCACCCTTTCTAACGTGGATCTGTTCCTCTCAGACAGGTTTTCTTTGGGCAAAATCCCACTCGTTTAAGGACCTTTCTGGCCAAGTTCTCTCAGCGAGTGTCCCGCAGCCCTTAAACCTTTCATCTCTTGTGCGAAAAGCTAAGCATTAGTAATATTTGCTGCCCACTAGGATTTAAGGTTTCACTTTAAAAAGGGTCCAGAAATGCCCATGGCTGGATCATCTCCTTCTGTGGCCAGATACATTAAAAAAAAAAATAAATAAGGGAGAACTTCAGGGCAGAGCAGCAAAGAAAAGAAAAAAAAGGCCTTTCATTTCCCCGTAGGATTTCCTTCCAGAAGGGCAGGTCCCCAATAGCCTGTTTTTCCCAGAAAAGTCAGAAAGAACTAAGGAACTTGCAGCTTTGTGACTCCAGAGACATAACACAACCAAAAGGGGAAACGCATTTTAGTCACACCATTTAAAACGGTGTTTTCCTTGGATGGTAATTCACAGACGTTTAATCCAAGATCCCCACTAAAGCAGTAAATAGACCAACTTCCCACATCAACCCTAGAAAAAGATATCTTTAGTTCAGTCCTCTGCCCTTTTTTCCAGGAAAAATATGTCACCTCTCTCATGTCTGGACATCACCACACCTATTCCTACACCACAAACAGGCTTCAACAGTGAAAATGCACCCTCAGCCTTACTGAGCACTACCAGAAGGGAAGGGAGGTTTGTGATTCAGGGACACGAGGGGGTGAGGCACCTCTCTGGCCCCAGATCCTGAGGAGCAGTGATGCTCTGAGCATCGCCCGGAGCATCACAGGGCTCTTTCCCACCCCAGATGTCTCCTTCTCTCCCAGTCCCACGCCAGCAGGTCACCAAGCTGAAGCACTGCGATATCCACTCATCCCTAGGAACACACTTAATCATTCCTACTTTCAAAGGAGAGGATGGGTACCAATTTGCTGGGCTGGAAATCCAGGCTGGTATTTCCCTGCCCCACACTTGGGACCAGAAATGAATGACAGCAGAGCCTAAAAGCCAGCATCAATGCAGCTGCACGGAGTCCAGTGCTCACACGGACGCCCGAACTCCTGCACGCCCCTGTCCCTACCGAGCTTCTGCAATTCCCCTGGCATGAAGCTTGAAACAATCCCAAGGACGTCTCGTATCCCCTTGCTCGTGACGGATGCGCAGATCACCTACCCCTGCTCTGCAGCCCTGCGCTGATTCAATTACAGCCCCCATCTCTTTGATTGAATTTAGCATAAAGTGATGCTCAGCCCACACCGGCTGCTGAGAGCAAAGCGCCCCTCTTCCCCGGCTCAGCCTCAGAGAATGGAGAGAACCCCTGGTCCTGGACGTCTCGTATCCCCTTGCTCGTGACGGATGCGCAGATCACCTACCCCTGCTCTGCAGCCCTGCGCTGATTCAATTACAGCCCCCATCTCTTTGATTGAATTTAGCATAAAGTGATGCTCAGCCCACACCGGCTGCTGAGAGCAAAGCGCCCCTCTTCCCCGGCTCAGCCTCAGAGAATGGAGAGAACCCCTGGTCCTGGCTGCCTGCAAATATTAAAGCCATGAGAGGAGATTGCGCTCTGGTCCAAAAGTCAGAGGAGAAAAGCAGCCTCCTCTGTGTGTGTCCTGGGTACTGCAGGCAAGGCTGAGGGAGAACAGCCAAAACTACATTTATCCAAGCTTTGCACATTTTACTACCCTTTCCGTGCGAGAGCACTTTATTCCTTCATCACAGTGATATTTAACCTCTCCAACATGCATCTCCCAAGGGAAGAGCTTTGTTTCTCCCTCTTCCATCAACATGCTCTCCCCAACAACACCCAACTGTGCTGGGGAAAGAGGCAGTCCAACCTGCAGTGGCTCAGCAACCCCTCAGCTGCCTCCAAAGCACCAGCTCCCATCTGCAAAGCCCTTTGGGATGTGGAGCC